TGGGACAATGTGAATATCAAAATATACAATGACAGAATGAGACTAAAATCCAAAGTCTTTATGTAAATATGTCAATAATAAATAGAGGAAAATCTTTTAAGGACTAATGCCAACTATATAATAAAAAAATCCTAAAACCATTGGATGAAATGTTGATAAGAAGCAATATATTTCCATAGTTTCAAAACGGACTCCCCAATAGTAGTTATTAATTACAAAGAGAAAAATAATCTCATGACAGTGGGAAAACCCTGAGAATAATACCTTAATCAAATAACTAAACTAAACATCACCAATAATGGGGTGAACCAGATATCATTCTTCCTGATATGATGCATCAAGAAAGATGGACAATCTCATTTTTGCAAAATATGTATAAACTGAATTAAGTATAAAGAGACATTTTCTAAAATTATTGCCAAGATCAGAAAAGATGAAGAAAGGCTGAGGAAGTGTTTCAGATCAAAGGAGATTGCAAATACATAGCAACTAAGTGCAATTCATGAGCTTAGAATGGATCTTCAGGGAAAAATTTTTAAAAGTACTATATTTTACTTGAGACAGTTAAAATTAAAATGTAGTGTAGATTAGATAATATTATACCATTGTTAAATTTTCTGATTTTGATAACTGCTGTGATAAGTGCATTGCCTATTTGGACCAAGATTCTTGTTTTTGACAAAAAAAAAAAAAAGCAACACACACAGAATTATTTGGGTAAATGGGCATGTTTCCAACCTAGTCTCATGGCACGCTTCCCTTTGATGAATAGTGCCAGTTTGTAAGTATGACTCTGTAAATGGAAATCATGCAAAGCAATCTTAACAATCAATAGGAAAAATTACTAATGTTCTGTGACCTTTAAACCTTTTTGTCAAAACATTAAAACTAATTTTATTCTCAATCTAAGAAAATGAAAATTAGTAAAACCAATATTTATCTCATACATTGCAATTTAAAATATTAGAAAAAATTTACAATTGAATCATTGTATTTATTTGTATAAAACTTATCAAGAGACGAAAGGTACGGCATAGGGAATGTAGTCATTGACCTTGCAATGACATTGTCTGGTGACAGATGGTGGCTACACTTGTGGTGAGCACAGCATAATGTATAGAGTTGTGGAATCCCTATGTTGTACACCTGAAACTAATGTAACAGTGTGTGTCAACTATACTTCAATAAAAGTAAAAATAAAGGCAGGCAATAAAAAAACTTATTAGAAGAAATATGAACAGTGCTTGCCTTCTTATATATTCACAGCACACACAAGCACCTTTTTATGCCTTAAATAATTGTTATTCTACTTCCTAAATTAGGATTAGGTTTTAATTTTTTGTCCTTTGTCCTTTCAACATTGTGAAATATTCTGTGGGTTCTTTTAATGTGGCTTTTTTTTTTTTTTTTGAACGAGCATCCCTTCTGGCATATCATCATCCTTTTTCTCACAACCATTTGTCTCATTTATGTCGGTAAGTTTGCCTTCACTGACTTCCTCTGGCTGCTTATCTAGTCTGTCAAATGGTGGTGGAGTCAACATCCCATGGTAGCTACTTCTATAACTCCATTTGTTTTCAATTTGAACTTCACTCTAGCATTACCATGTTTAATTTTTTGTTGCACTTTCAACTTTCAGTTCCCTCTTTTGATAATCCATTTTTATAAAATGTCTCATGGTTTATCACTGGAAGATAAAAAAGTAACACAATTACACACTTTTCTGTTTGTGAATCAACTGCGTAACAGATGCACAGCCACAAATACTGTCAGACTTGAAAGAAAGGACATGTTTGGTCACTGATCATGATGTGCATGCATTATTTACCTAGTGTGGACTGGAGAACTAGCAGCAAAGTTCCTATTTTGTGCAATTACACAAAGTTGGTATCCCACCATCACCGTTGTTTTGAATTGCATTGTTCCGCGACTGGTACTATTTAATGAAAACGTGGTAACTGGAATTCATTCTCATGGAAACCTAAAGCAAAACTGCCTCTGTGTGTGTGCTTGTGTGAGCATGCACACGTTTGTGTGTGCAAATGTGTTTGTATTAAGAAAGAGAGGGGGAAAGAAGCAAAATGTAAACAATTGGTAATCTGTATTAATATGTTTATGGAACTTGCTCTTTTCTTAAAATTTCCCTGTAAGTCTCAAATTATATCATAGTAAAAAGTTATGATAAAAAAGTAAACAAAGGATGTGAAATACTACTTTCCTTTTTAAGAACTTTGCTAATGTAATGGGATATTTCTCTTATTGGAATTAAAAGAATTTTTGATAGTCATCAATTGTATTGTCTTTTTGTTCCAAAATTGGTTTTTATCTCATTAAACAGTTACTGTACCTATTACGGATTAATTATGCCGATGAGTCTTCTTGAAAATAACACTTCTGCCCCAGAAGAACCATAATAAGTGTGATTTAATGATTGGAATTCAGGTGTTGTCTGTATATCATAATACCATTATAGCATTTTTTTTTTTAAGAGAGAGAGAAAGAGCACACGTGTGGGGGGTGGCGGGTAATGGCTGAGTGAAAGGGAGGGAGAGAATCTTAAGCAGGCTTCATGCAATGCAGAGCCTGTTGTGGGGTTCTATCTCACTACCCTGAGATCAGGACCTGAGCTGAAATCAAAAGTCCTACACTTAACCCACTGAGCCACTCAGGTGCCTCACTTTTATAGCATTTTAATGACATCTCTCTTGTCACTTGAATTAGTAACATTCTTAGGTAGGAAATATGCCTTTAAGACCCTCACAACTTGAAACAAAAAGCCTTTTCCAAAGATTCAACAAGATATGTCCCATATTTGCTGTGAAAGCTAAATATTGTGTTGCTCAGAGATGTCTGATTTACTGATCTTGTTCTAGTTTCTCAGGACTGAATTCACAAATTTATTTGGCTCAAGTAGTGATAATTCAAATCATTGATATACATTAATTCTAAATTACCAGGTGACTGGTTTATCTTCATTGTGGATTATTTTATACTGACATATGAATGTATTATATCCTGAAGTTATTGTGCAAATAGCTATCCTTCATTAAAATATCAAAACTAAAATTTCCAGGAAGAGGTGAAAAGCACGGAAAGTTTAAGTTTTAGTAGAGATCCCAAATGCAATTAGAGATGTCATTTAAAAAATGCTAAAATAATAAATCAGTTGCTCAAAATATAATATGATCACTTAATGCTACTTTTCTACATAGCAAAATAGATTAAATGTATAAGAAGTTTTCCATTTTCTTAATACTTTCTAGGGAAGAAGAAAAAATTTTTGATATTCATCAATTGTATTGCCTTTTTGTTCCAAAATTTGTTTGTTCCAACTTTATTCCATAGCTGCTTCTCAACTTGATCACATTTTCTATTTTTATTTTATTTGTTTCTTTGATCCAGGTAACCAGTGCTACAATCTGAGACATCTACCAGAATCATATTTTTATGAATAGATTTGTCGATAAGCATCATATAAATATTTGTCCATAGTGGTGTTAATTTTAACTAATAGTTTTTATTTCATCTTCTGCTTTATGTAATTGAAAGCTCTAAGCATTTTTGTGCATAAAAAATTGGAATTGACTTGAACTTAGTACAAATTATAAACATCTCAACCATCTTATAAATATTTTAACTTGTCCAATTGCTCATCTAAATATATTTTTCCATTTTGTTTAGAAAATTGTTTTGTAATAAAAACAAAACCAAAAAGAACATGTGTGTAGAAAGGGAACATATAGTCTTGTAACAACGTAGGAAGTGAGGTATGTGCCATGGACACTGGTTTGCTAACCAGATTTCCAGCTGTGGGAATGACTACATAGCTTGTAACTAAATATCCCTTTATGGGAATCAGATGAAGGGAACTGTCTTGTCAATATTTTGGTCCTCTGGGAGGAGAACTAGCAGTCAGTGCCTGGTTGGAGTGGGAGAACATTGAAAGGACTGAGCCACTTGCTTCTAATTTATATAGCTCTGGAAGGATCATCCCATCTCCAGGGCTCTAATAGGATTGTCTGAGGGCACAGTTGTGACTGCTCTGTAGTTTGATTTCCTCCTCACCCAATCCTGCTCCCTTCAGGGGTTGTTCTGCAGGACATGCCATAATTAAACCACCTAAACACAAATCTCATTCTCAGAATCTGTTTTTGAGTGACCCAACCCAAGGTGGATAAGGGTTAGATCCCTGAGAGACTAGTATAACTAGTATAACTATGTTCTGGCATTCCTTAAAACTCCTTGATGTTTAAGGCTGGTGTCCAACATTCTATGCAATAAATATTGAGACTATGAGATACATCAGAGTGACATACCATAAAGATGGGAGAAGCTATGTTAAAGCAATGATCCATAAACTTTTTTTATCCAAATCACCTGGAGAGTTTGATCAACCTCAAGTTGTAGGAACTGACTCCCAGAATTTCAGATTCAAATCATCTGTGGTGGGAGCTAAAATTTACATTTCTAACAAGTTCTCAGGTGATGTTAATGCTGACATTTTGGAGACCACACTTTGAAAAACACTTCTTTATAGAGACAACCATTAGTGGTTTCTTAAGAGGAAAGAGGAATATAGGTTTGATATTCACATGACAAATATTTATTTGCCAAACCCAAATACACTGGATGTGATAATGAGAGAGTCCTATCTGAATATAAACACAGCACCAATTTAACAAACTGATGTGTCATATTTGAATAGTAAACTCTAAACACAGATAAGGAAATTCAATGAAAAAAATGTGTCATAATGATATTTTAGATATTGACTCACCATTAAACTGGAATAATATATCACAGAAGTGGGAAGAGTCCATTAAGAAGTACAAAGTCGAGACCAAAAGCATGCTGTAGCTCAGAAATATGTGAATAGACTCCTGGCTCAAACTCTGACCTCGCTGACCTATGGATTTCTGTGTGTCTTGAGCCCTGCCTGCAGTGGACCAGAGAAGCAAGAAGAGGAGCATCCTGGGCATATTTACTCACAGTCTAGCAAAATGGCAGCCACACATCTGTCTGCTATATTTGACCATGCTGGTATCCATGAGAGGAACACAAAGGTGGAAAACATCCACTCTGCATTACAGAACCCAATAACCTTTGAGGATGTGGCCATAGACTTCACCCAGGAGGAATGAGCGTTATTGAATTCACGTCAGAGAAAACTGTACAGAGATGTGATGCTGGAGAACTATAGAAACTTGGCATCTCTGGAAAAGCAGCTCAGCAAACCCACTCTGATCACCCAGATGGAACAGGAAGATGAAATGAAAACAGAGACAGGAAATCACCAAGATACCTGTTCAAATGGGATGGTTCTCCTTAAAACAAAACAATCACAACATAAGCAAGGTATTTTGGAGAAAGAAGCACTCAGTGCCAAGAAGGAGCAAACTCATGGAGGAAGATCCATTGAAAAGAATAAAATTGTCTTGAGCATGAAATCTAGTGTCACTCAGAATCAGAGAATTCATCCTGGCGAGAATCCCCATCAGTGCCTTCATCTCGGGGAAAGCCCTCAGAGATTGTTTACACCTTAACCCACATGAGAACATTCTTTTGGGGGAAAAATCCAGTGACTGTAAAAATGATAAAAATACCTTCATCAGTTGTTCTTTCTTAGCTGTGCATAAGAAGCAACGTACAAGAGAGAAATCCTACAAATGCACTGACTCTAGGAAAGTCTCAAGTTCAATCTTATATATTAAGCATGAAAAAACTTGCATTAGAGAGAAATATTTTCAATGTAGCCAGTATGGTAAAGTATTACAGAACCACTCATCCATTGCATTGCACATGAGAACCCACAGTGGAGAAAAACCTTTTAAATGTAAGCAATGTGGGAAAGCCTACAGTTCAAGCTCTTATATTACACGGCACAAGAGAATTCACACTGGGGAGAAGCCCTATGAATGCCGTGACTGTGGAAAAACTTGCAGAGATAGTTCACTTCTTAGACAACATGAAGGAATTCATTCAAGGGACAAACCTTACAAATGTGATCAGTGCAGCAAAACCTTCAGTAGAAGCTCTAGGCTTACCATGCACAAGATAATACATAACAAAGAGAAGCCCTATGCCTGCAATGATTGTGGGAAAACCTTCAATATTCTTTCATACCTTACAAGAAGAGGGTCCACACTGGTGGGAAGTCCACTGAGTGTAGCCACTGTGGAAAAGCATTAAGTAGTCCATCAGTCCTGAAGACACACCTGTGGATACATACTAGAGAGAAACCTTACAAGTGTGATAAGTGTGGGAGGACTTTTAGAATGAGCTGTAATCTTAATGTGCACAAGAAAATGCATGCTGGAGAGAAGCCGTGTACTTGCAATGACTATGGGAAAGCCTTCAGGGATCACTCGTGCCTTAAAGAACATGTGAGAATTCACACTGGGGAGAAACCCTTTGCATGTAATCAGTGTGGGAAAGCCTTCAGAATGAAATCTTTCCTCACTTTACATAAGAAAATTCACATGAAAATGAAACAATATGAGTGTAAGGAGTGTGGGAAAGCCTTCGGTGGTCTCTTATCTCATAGGAGATATGAAAAAGCATCCGAGGGAAAAGAAACCCTTCAAGTGTAATGAGTGTGAAAAGGCTTTTAGGAGGCATGTGTCCCTTACAATACACATAAGAACTCACACTGGAGAGAAACCCTATGAGTGTGATCAATGTGGGAAAACCTTCAGCGTAAGGTATAATCTTACTGTGCACAAGAGAGTCCATACTGGTGAAAAGCCCTATCAATGCAGTGTCTGTGGACATGCTTTCAGTAAACTCTCCTCCCTTCAGCAGCATCATGAGAGCACTCATGCTGGATAAAACTCCTAGTAAATGTCCATGTGCAGTAGTTTTCAGTGAACTCTCAATCTTAAAGGCATACAAGCAAATGCTAACTGCAGAGAACTGGATGTAAAGAATGGGAGAAAGTCTCTGAATAATAGATCTGTGGGAGAAATATAAGTTATGCAATGACTGTGATAAATCCTTTATTCATCCCCTAGATATGTGACCACTTGACGCCAAAAGTAAAAACTTTTCGTGTCTTCAAGACTTGTTACTTGAGAAAAATAAACACCTAATGTTTTAAGCCAAAAAAAAAAAATACAAAGTCAAACAAATGTTTAAATATAAAGGAATCAATAAATATTTAGACACTGGGTAATTAAAACATACATGAGACAAAGATGTAAGTACTCTTCTCCAAAATAAAAGAATACCTCAAATTTTTTCATTATGACATCTCAGTAGTACCAACTAAGTACCTAAAAACTGTAATAAACTAATATAAACTTTATAGATTTTAATTTGGTAAAATACCCCTGCACCATTCATCAAGTCACATACTAGGGTTATATACTATTATGAAAACGGGACACATTTAATGATAAATCAATAGGAAATCAACTAACTCATGGCAACAGCAAAATATTTATTGGACCGTATATAATATATATTTAAAAAAAGAATGATTGTACTTGATAAAATCTATTTATCTACCATCTATTATCTATCTACCTAAATTCCAATGGTCAATATTCAACAACCATGCAGTGATAATAAAATGTTATGGGCAGAAAATATCCCACAATGTGCAAATCTATAGGATAAAATGCAAATTTTGTGAGGACTTCATTAATGGAAAATTTGAAACAATATGTTTCTTTTAGTTTCTAAAGGCAAGGACATGGAAGATGAAAACCATGAGGATGATACTGAAGTTTAAGATGGATATCTAATACAAAGATAAAGGAGGAAAAAATATAATATACAGCACTGTTTATTCTACATTATAGCTATTTAGACATGCATATAGATGTCTATACACCTTTAGTATAGAATACAGTTATTTCTAGTAGTTTTATATCTATCTATATTTATGTTTGCTTCAATTTACTACCATATGAAATATAGAATAAAGTCTTCCTACACATTTGATTCAAAGCATCTTATCTAGCCTAACAAGCATTTGGAAACAAATCACCTGTATATGCCATTTTTAATATCATAAGAAAAATTTTATATCATATGAAATTGTTACAATTTAATAACATACTAACAAAATGTTAATACTCCACTATCCAGACTATCTATCTATTTATCATCTATCTATCTATCATCTCTCTAGACAAATCTCTAATAGATTTAATTTTACCAAAGCCATTGTAAATAGTAACTACTGGAGATTTCCATAGAAGCAAGTCACAGAGGAACTTTCTATGAAATCATAAAGTTCTCTTAAAGCCACATTTTTATCCAAGGTTGGAGTGGAGAAAAGGACAAAGGAACCATACTGAAATATATTTTCAGAAGAATCCCTCTATAAAGATTTATAATTTCTAACAGCAGATAAAGAAAAAGTTACTATGCTGTCAGGATACTTGACCAAAATTATCACGTGGAGATAGGGTTGCTGTCACATAATAGTGGCAGATTTGGTTAGCCAATGAAAGTCACGTTCATATTTTCTTCATGTAGAACCATTTATCTTAAGAATTGGCGCCCAATATAACAGGCAGCTAAAAGTAAGAAACTGGATTAAATGCTTCCACTACATCAAAGAACACCATTTGTGGGAAACTGGCCAAGAGTAATACCATCAATAAACTCTACCTCACAAAAAACATTATATTGATTCTTTTGAAATAAAACTTTCAAGAAAGAAAATATGAAAAACCATGCCATGAAATACCACAGAAAATTGTATGATTCTTTGAAATACTATAAAATATTAATAGAATAAGCTCTTGCAAAATGTATGGGGAGATGCCAAGAACAGGTTGTGAAACATGATTAATGGGTTCATGTGTTATGAGAAAAGGTTTAAAAAATCATAGTCATTCGTTATCAATAAACATAATGTCAGACATTGACGTAGGTACCATGGATATATTGACAAATAAAACAGAGAAGTATGTTATCTTCACAGAACTTGCGTCCTGGTGAAGAATACAATTGCACACAAGAGCAGACATACAAACACATAAATATGATTAATATTTGTAACTGTTTTGAAGAAGAAATTAATATAACCCAAACTCACAATCTCATTTAAAAACAAAATAAAAGCAAAAGAAAAAGCCATCTGCTGTTATGAGAATATAAGCTTAAAATAAGCACTGTGATGTAGCTTATATTTAAAACATTGAGTGAATGACAACATTGAACACAAAAAGGAAAAATAAGGAAGAGTTATACAAAATATTTTTAAAATAATAACAAAAGAAATGTTGAAGAACAACAAATAACACCTATCAATCTGAGAGGGTTTATGAATTTGGAGGAAATAATTATATAGCAAAGCAGTGATGATATACTAATATATTCTAATAAAATGTTAAGGTAAAGGTTTTTTTTTCAAACTATAGGAACAAAGAAAGCCCAGGTTCTCAAAGAGAAGCAATGAAAGAGCCCTTAAAAAATCCCATACAACCTCATAAAAGTTTTTATAAGCAATTTAAAATTTTTACTATAGGTATGGATTTTCAAGAAGTATTACCAATATTTATTTTGGAAAAACAAATCTTTAAAAATGAAATAGAATCATAGTATTTCAGTAAAACTATTGAAACTGTAAAAATATGGAAGTCTGTTAGTAAATATATATCCCATTAAAACAGGAGAAATGATTAAAAATATGATAGGAAATCAAAAGAAAGATTGGAAAAGATATTCCAAAAACTATGGCAATTATTTTGCCTACTCAGAAAGCTTTTAAATAAAGGCTGTATAGTTTGTTTTAAAAATTTTAGTGTTGAGAATAGGTTTGGGGGGATGAGCGAAAGCCTAATTGGGGCTTCTTAATATTTTGTATTAAAGTAAAAGAGTAGGGGCACCTGGGTGGCTCATTTGGTTGAGTGTCTGACTCTTGGTTTCCACAACGGTTGTGATATCATGGGTGGTGGGATCAGCCAGGCATGGGGCTCTGCTTTCAGCAGGGAATCTGCTTGAAAGATTCCCTCCCTCTGCCCCTCCTCCTCGACATGTTCATTCTCTCTCTCTCTCTCTCTAATAAATAAATAAATCTTTAAAAAGTAAAAGAGTATAAATTTAATTATGTATTTAGTTTTTTCTCTAGTAATAGAGATTGCATTTAACAATATATATGACAATTAAATTGTGAAGAAATACGGTTATGTAAAGAAAAATTTGAAATAGTAACGCTAATTCTATTATTTAAAAATTATATTCAAGCTTGTGCAAAAAATTAATATATGTTGCATGTATTTGAACTCAGTCACCCAAATGTTTGATTAAACTTGATTTAAATTATTCTTTTCTTAATAAGGCATTTTTTAATGAATATTCTATGCTCAAGTTTCAAATTAAATTTCCCCCTATTGTTCGCTTTTGTACTGTTAGAAACATTTGCAAATCATTTTGATCTTTCTGTGAAGTCAGAAAATTCTTATACTAAACCTAAGGCTCTAGAATATTCACAAAATAATTTGTTTCTATACTAAGTTATGTTATGTATTATGTTATGGTTATGTTATCTTGATGACTTTCTCTAAGGAATTTGTATATTTTATCATGTTTCTACCAGTTGGAATTTAGTAATGAATTATTTTACTTCAATAAGGACGATTAAAATCTAAAGTATGTTGTTAGTGACATTTTGTCTCTGTAATTAAAATTCTAGAAATCATTTTTATATTGACAAGTTTAGTATGAAAAGTTTAAGCAAAATTCTAACTCCTTTTGTGAGGAGAAAACCTACAGAATTTTCCTTTGAACGATGTTTCTTTCTTTCATAGCACAGATTAAACTAGCTGTCCTTTGTGGTGGTGGAGTTGGGGCAGACAGACAGAAGGTGCATTTACATGTAGAAAAAAGAGATGTTCAAAGAGCTCTATTCAATAGAGCAAGTAGTCTATGTCTGTGCATTAACAATCAAACTGTAATTGACAATTTGAAAACATGTTGGTAAAAATTTTATAAATGTTTTCTGGATCCACTGTTCTTATGTGTCATAAAGTCTATGCCAAGCATCAGAGGTGCCAATGTTTCTTCCAAATAGACAGTTGCTTCTTGTTTATTCTTACTGATATATAAAGGCTTAGACCACAAATATTCAGTTTATTCACCTATAAAGTTAATTTTGTCTCTGCAAATGAATTTGATTAGCTTAGAAAAATTATGTATATATCAAGATTAGCTCTTAGAACTCTATTTCTTATTAACACAACTAACTGATCATCTTAACAATGTGAAAAAAAGATCTGTATTTATTTGTTTGTATTTATGTGTATTTAATTTGTTTAAACAAATTAAAAAAATATATTATGTTTTAAAATCACTACAGCCAAAATATTAAACTCAAAATTCACAGAAAAATCACAGTTTTATATAATATTTCATCTTATTAAAGTGAATTGGCTCTATCACTTACATGTAATGTTTATTATCAAAGCAAGTATTTTAGTTTTGTGTATTTATTGATTTCTTTTTTATTTTCTATTTTATTATGGTATACCATTGGATATTCTTCTCTCATACCATGATGACTAAGAATTTAGTTATGTACTTAAAAATTTTACATATTTAAAAATATGGCTATAATTTTAAGTTTAGAGCAATCTACATGAAAATGAAAGGCAATCTGAGTATTTTCATTGTATGAAAGAAAATCATGATTCAAGGGTTTGATTATATTATCCATGCATTTATTTTTTTAACATAATAGCTCCATATAACAATGATAAACGTTTGCCAAGTAATCCAAATATTCCAAATGGAGTGATAGAGAATAAGATATATAATGTAGATATTAACCAGTCTTACATATTACTACATTTGTTAATTAGCATTAATCATCTGAA